AGCAGAACTTACCAGGCTTGACTGCCCATCAGAGATCTAGGACCTGGCTTGGGTTGGTGGGGAATGGAACTCACTTTCCAAATTGAGTCATTATCAGTCACTGCATGCACACATCCAGTGGTGGACACCAAAGGGGTCTGAAAGGCAAGCTGCAGAGCAGTGGAGGGGCCGGAGTGAGGGTGCAGTCAACCCCCAACTTGGAGGACTACGGAGAAGAGCTGGGCTGGGGCATGTGGTGGTGGTCTCTGTCCATAGTCAGAAAGGGGAAGCACCAAGGAGATGCAGCCCCATTGAGGCAGGTGGGCTGTGTCACAAATCCAGACACCTGTCTCCTTCAAGCTCCTCTAGAGGTTTTTTGGTAGTGCTTTATTTAATTTTATTTAACTCCGTCTCACCTTCTCTAACATCTGCACCTATTGTGTGCCCAGCCCTGCCACAAGCTCTGGGCTGGCTAATGCTTATAAAAGCTTTGCACATGTGCACATGCTCACACATCAACCCAACACACTTGGATTCCTCTGTTCTATCTTCAGGGCAGTTCTGGTAACTTCAGGATGTACAACCTGTCCCTACTGCCCCTGAGCTACCACTAGACCCAGAAAGCCCCACCTATCTTTCTGGTGCTGATCAGGTATCCCTTCCTGGTACATTCCCCTGTCTGCCTCTGGATTAATGGTCATATACACACACACACACACACACACACATACATATATATATATTTTGAGACGGAGTCTCACTTTGTTGCTCTCAGTAGAGTATAGCTCACAGCAACCTCAAACTCTTGGGCTCAAGTGATTCTCTTGCCTCAGCCTCCCAAGTAGCTAGGATTACAGGTGCCTGCCACAACACCCAGCTATTTTTAGAGGGAGGGTCTCACTCTTGCTCAGGCTGGTCTCGAACCTGTGCGCTCAGGCAATCCATCTGCCTTGGCCTCCTAGAGTACTAGGATTATAAGGCATGATCCACCGCGCCCAGCCATTGCCAACATTTATTGCCAAAAAGGTTGGGTCACTGCTGTAAATAAAGGAGGAAGATCATAGGACCCTGAGTCCAGGAAGGCTGGTTTCTTCCCACCCTCTGCATTTGCTGTAATCTAGTCCTCATGTCCATAATGCCCTTCCTGGCAGCTGAACTCCCTGCCTCCCCAGAAAGCCCAGTTCAGATGCTACCTACTCCATACGGTCTTCTCAGATTGCTCCTCCAGGGTCCTTCCACTCCTGAATCTCTTGGTGTTCTCTGTTGACTCCCTCCTGCCTTGGCACTGTACTTGCCTGCAAAGAGGCTGCTGGAGACTAAGCACCCAGAAAACTTGCCCAGCAGAAACAGAAAATGCTGAGCACATCAAAAAATTGTGCATTCTCTCTTCCTTTCAGGCCATGTGCATTCTTTGCAATCTTGAGTTCAAGTTCTCCCCCAATCTCTCTTACCTCTAGCTGGCTGCTGTCAGTAGCAGAGCTCAAGCCCCAGACACCTTCCACTTGGCACTGTGCTAACACTGGCCACATCAGGGAGCACCTGAGCCCACTTAATCATCTGTCAGATGAGAGGCTGTGCTAAAAATCTTAACCATGTCCTAATTCAAGGCTTATATCCTTCTAGTGCAGGGGAAGGACTCTATCACATTCTTACCTCACAGTTTAAAAGCAGACTTCAGGTTGGGCATGTTGGCTCACACCTGCAATCTTAGCATTCTGAGAGGCCAAGGTGGCTTGATTGCTTGAACTCAGGAGTTGGGAGTCCAGCCTGAACAAGAGTAAGACCCTGTTTCTACTAAAAGTAGAAAAATTAACTGGGCGTAATGGTGTAGTCCCAGCAACTGAGGAGGCTGAGGCAAGAGGATTGTTTAAGCCCAGGCGTTTGAGGTTGCTGTTAAGTATGATGCTAGGGCACTCTACCCAGGGTGACAGAGTGAGACTCTAAGGAAAAAAAGCAGACTTCAAAGAAGTAATTTTACGTAATTGTAGCAGCCATGGAAGGACTACAATGTCAAATGAAAATGACGAATTTAGGAGAGGGAAGTGGACCTGCCGCCCTGAACTGGCTGGGGTTTCCATTTTTATTAAAGCTTTTGTTTAATTAAACACACAGAAAAGTATATACATATCTTAAGTGTCCAACTTGGTCAATATTTTTGCAATGAGAACACATCCATGTAATCACCACTAGAATATCAATGTCCCCAAAATTCCCTCATGCCTCTCCAGTCATGACCAACATTCTGACTTATAATCAGGCAACAGGTCTTGCCTAGACTCGGACCTTTACTGTTAATGCAGTCACCTGGCATGAACACTTTTACAACAGGTTTCTTTCACTTGACATCATAAGATTGTTGTTATGATGTTAACATAACAACATCATAACAATGATGTTATGATGACATAACAATGTCCATAAGATTGATTCATGTTTTGTGGTATCAGTGGTTGTTCTCTTCATTGTCATATAGTATCCCCCACCTATGAATACACTATTTATCCACTCCATAGCCAACAGGTGTTCGGGTAGTTCCCAGTTTCAGACAATTAAGAATGTACTGTGAAGGCTGGACACAGACTGTGGCTCATGCCTGCAATCTTAGCACTCTGGGAGGCTGAGGTGGGTGAATTGCCTGAGCTCATGGCTTCCAGACCAACCTGATCAAGAGCAAGACCCTGTTTCTAAAAATAGGCGTTGTGGCAGGCACCTGTAGCCCTACTTGGGAGCCTGAGGCAAGATCCACTCTACCAAGGGCAACAAAGTGAGACTCTGTCACCAAAAAGAAGAAGAAGACTATACTGTGAAGAATGTTCTATACATGCCTCTTGGTGAGTAACAGCCCCCATTTCACTCAGGTATCATCAGGAGTGGCACCTCTGGGTCACGGAGCAGCATGATCATCGGGCATTGCTGGATTGGCTATTTTAGATGATGTCAGATCTGGCATTGATGGATGTTCCCATAGCACCCAACACACAAGGACTCTCAAGTGAAGGCTGGACCCAGAAGGGATCTCACAAGACACACCTACAAGCAGCTTCAGGAGAGGCCTCCACTCTGCTGCCTGCCCTAAATCCCTACTCCACACAAGGCTGAGGAAACCCTCCATGGTACCAACTCTATCTGGGTCCACTACCATCCTCTGTAGTAGTGGCTCAGGCCAGCCTCTCACTGCTTTCTCCTCCAAGCACCTCACAAGAGGCCAGCCCTCTAGTGGTCAGGAACCTTGTGTGGACTCACTGAGGAGTGGACAAGAACCAGAATACCATGTTCCAGATGCTGGGTGGCCCCCAGTAAACAGAACCCTTTGCCAGCTCTCTGTTCTAATCAGCTGGCAGACACAAGTCCTGTCTGATTGATAGTGACTGGGAACGGGGCCAGTATCACTCCCTAGGTGAGGCCCCCCCACACAGTGTCTCTGGGCCCACCCCACCCACTACAAGTATATTTATGAGAAGGAAGGCAGAAGAGAGAGAGAGAGATTTAGAATGGTGACGGGCTGGTGGGATAACCAATAAGGAGTTATTCCTCTAGTGGAAAGAGCCATTAGGGGTGGGCAGCAGGAAATTGTAACAGGGTGATAAGGTAAGCAGGTCACTCCCTGTGCTAGGGAGTTGTAACTTTTAAGGGCAGAAAGGGGCTTTTGGGCAATTTGAAGCAATTTTCTAACAGTCAGACCCTCACAGAAGTGCAAAGAGAGCAGCTAAATGCCAAGGGGCAGCCTGAGCAGTAAGGCTTCCTCCTGTTTTGATCTAGCACAGTGGAAGGGCAAAAAAGGGGGGAGGAAAGGGGATTCTAGGCTGAGGAACAGCCATTTGGATGCCAAGATAAAGGATGTGTGCTTTTGTTTGGAGGGGAAGGAGCAGGCAGTGCTCTGGCAGACCTTGAGGGATTACAAACAATTCCAAGTTGGTGATCTTACACCACTGTAAGGCTCTGGAGCTGGTGCCTGGCAATGCCCCTTTCAACACTTTAAAGCAGGGATCCTCAAACTTTTTAAACAGGGGGCCAGTTCACTGTCCCTCAGACGGTTGGAGGGACGGACTGCGGGGCCCTGGGACGAGTTGGCTGTTAAGCAGTACAGGCAGCGGCGGCAAAAACACCCAGCGGGCCGGATAAATGTCCTAGGCGGGCTGCATGTGGCCACGGGCGGGCAGTAGTTTGAGGATGCCTGCTTTAAAGTATAAACCTCTTCACTGCCCCTCTGACGACCTCCCCCAAAGGGAAGTCAAGGAAGGAGCTTATTGAAAGTGGGAGTGTGGAAAAAAAAAAAACCAAGTTAACCTACTAAGCGTTCCCGCTGGTGATATTAAAAAGGGGTTCACTAGAGTCCAACAAAGTTGACTGACCTGTCAGGGACACATAGCTAGCGATGGGGTCGGTACTATAGTTTTGAATCATTCTACGCCGAACCGAGCCCCAGCCTTAATTCGCTGTGGTAGCCCACAACCCAGAATCAGCGCAAAACTGCCTAAATACGCATATTTCCCTCCAAAGTCAGGATATCCATGGGTAAAGCCTAGGAATCTACAGGTGACCCTGTAATTTTCATGCATACTAGCCAGTCTGAAAACTCAGCCCTGCAACTGCCCGGCCCCAGCGCAGCAGCTCGGCCCAAACCTTGCCCCACCAACCGCCCATGCGCCTCACGAGGCTGGCATGGGACACAGGGGGGCCAAATCCCGCACTTGGGCTACAACTCCGCAGCCGGCCTCTTCCGGAATAACCACGCGCCGGGTCACCGTCGGGCCGCTGCGCCCCCTGGCGGCTACTGGGGTATGGGGCCCGGGGCCCGGGAGTCGGCTAGTCCAGGGCTTTGAGCGGGTGCTCTGCATGCCCGGACCGGGAGTGACCGGCGTGGCCTCTGCCCGCAGCTCGGAGCCGGAAGGGCTTCGTCCCGAGGTCCTAAGACACTTTCTGCGCCCGACACCCGAGGAACCGCACCCGGAGCGAGCGCTCCGCCCACCCCGGCCGCGTCGGCTCGTGCGCGCGCCCGGGACCGGTGTGCGTAGGCGCTCTCGGGCCGCGCAGCCGCCATTGCTCTCCAGCGTTCGGGGGTTCTTGTTGGCAGTCTGCTAACGAGGAAGAAAGGTTGAGTGCGACTCCTCGACGACAGCGCCTTGCAGCTGCAGGGGCAGGACACACAGGGCGGGTGTCCCTTTAGGCCTGACTGACTGGAGTAAGGAACTACAACCCCCGAAGTGCATTGGGCCGCGGGGATTGCGGGAGGCAGTGACGTAAGCGGTCTGGCCACCACCAAGTCTCCGTGGTGGGGGGTCGCGGTGGCGAGTACTGATGACGCGCTGTTTTACGGCTGGAGGGTCGCTGGAGGTCGGCGCCAGGGCGCCCGGCTCTAGTTCTGGGAACCCCTTCGCGACTCTTGTTTGATCATTGTACCTGTTCTGGTGACAGTACCCGCTGCTTTTCTCCCCCAGGCCGCCCGCTGAGCCAGCCGGCTGCCATTATTTATTATTTAGTCTTTATTTTGAAATAATTTGAAACAACTCATGTATACCCTTTTATAAGATTTACAGTGTTTGCCCCTTTTGGTCTCTCGTTTTCTCTATTTATACTTTTTTCCCTTGGATCATGTGAATTAGTTGCAGAAATACCCCTTTACCTCTGTATTAGAGGTTCTTCCATGTGTATTTTCTACAAACAAGGACATCCTCCTACATTCAACACCAGGTAACATTGATCAAGATTCTTGTTCTAGGCCGGGCTCGGTGGCTCACGCCTGTTAATCCCAGCACTGGGAGGCCGAGGCAGGTGGATTGCTTGAGCTCACCAGTTGGAGACCAGCCTGAGCAAGAGCGAGACCTTGTCTCTAAAAACTAGCCTGACGGGCACCTGTAGTCCCAGCTACTTGGGAGGGTGAGGCAAGAGAATAAAAGTCCAAGAGTTTGAGGTTGCTGTAAGCTATGATGCACTACCAAGGGCGACAAAGTGAGACTCTGTCTCAAAAAAAACAAAAAAAGATTCTTATCTAGCCCATAGTCCATATTTAAATGTTCCCAGTTGTCCTAATAATGCTCTTTGTGGAAACTACCTTTTTTTTGGTTCCTATTCAGCTGTCAGGTCTCTTTAGTCTCCTTCAGTCCAGAGCTCCTCAGATTTTTCATGACTCATGATCTTGACACTTCTAAAGGTTCCTGGCCTGTTGTTTTGTGGAACAAGGTTTAAGGTTGTTAACTAGACTGTTAATGATGCTGATCTGATGCTGTTATTCAGAGGCTGGGGTATATCTTGGATGGGTGAGGAGGATCTCAGTGTCCAGCCACACTGGCCTCTGGACACATTCTCTGGCCCTATTAGGCCAGGCCCTTCTGTGGGTACTTCCCGTGCTGGGTTTTCATTCTTAACCTCACCAAGGTCTCTGAATTCTCATAGCACGAGCCATGGTCCATGCTTTCCTCATCCACACCTTGAGGGCCCCCCATGCTGAGGACTCGGGCTTCTGCAGAGTGCTGTATTCCTGCATCTTTGGCACGGAGAAGTCACCTGATGACCCACGGCCACATGGTGCTGAGAGGGACAGGCTTCTCCGCAAGGAGCAGATTTTGGCCGTGGCCAGGTAATTACACAGCCCAACCTTAGGTATTTTAGAGGGTACAAGAGGACTAAGAAGCAGAGGGAAAGTTTTAAAGAGGCTTCTGTAGTTGTTAAAAAGTGTTATATGAGAAAGGATTAAAAGAATAATGCTTTTATTATTATGGATAGCATTTATTGAATCTGTAACTATGTGCTAAGTATTTAAGTTCTGAGCATTTTATGCATATTGCCTCATTTAATTCTCATAACAGTTTTTTGAGGTAGGTACAGTTATCATCTCCCCCTTACAGATGGGTAAACTGAAGTATGGAATGTTTAAGGAACTTAACTTGCCCAAGGTTATACAGCTAGAAAGTGGCAGGACTGAGAAGTGAGTGTAGGCAGGCAAACCCAGTACAGACTAAACATACTTTGCAGTGCAGGATCTCTCAGGGCCTTTAGTATCCCTGTAGACTTTATTAATCTTTAAGGAAGAGCGAGAATGTGGTATATGGGAACTCTATACTCAGGGCCTCCAGAAAGCCTGGGATCCAGAGCACAGTTTGGACAACACTGTTGCAGACTAGAGTAGCTAGCCTAGGACCATCCATTCCCAGAACCAGACAGAACTGGCAGGTGCTACAGTCTCTCAGGCCCTTTGCATTCTATGTGAAGGATTACTGTGCTGGGCAGTCTTGTCTTCCCTTCCTCTTCCTTCTCTTCTTCTCCTCCTCTTCCTCTTCCTCTTCTTTGTCTTCTCCCCTTCTTCCTCTTCCTTCTCCCATCCTCCCCTTCCTCCTCCTCCCCCCCTTGTTCTTCCTCCTCTTTTTCCTTCCCTTCCTCTTCCCTTTCCTCTTCTTCCTCTTCCTCTTCCCTCTCATGCTTCTCATCCCCACTCTCCTTTTCCCCTTCTTACCCTCTCCTCCTTCCTCTGCCCAGGCTAGAGTGCTATGGCATCAGCCTAGCTCCTCCTGCCCCCTTGTTTTTCTTGTCCCTCCTCTCCCTATAGCACAGAAAACCAAACAAATGCCTTTAATACCAGCCTGTGGGCCAGCGTGCTGGCTCATGGATGTAATAGGAGGCCAATGTGGGTGGATTGCTTGAGTTCAAGACCAGCTTGAGCATGAGTGAGACCCTGTCTCTATTAAAAATAGAGAACCTAGCTGGGCACTGTGGCGGGTGCCTATCGTCCCAGCTGCTTGGGTAGACTGAGACAAGAGGATCACTTGACCCCAAGAGTTTGAGGTTATTGCTTGTTTGGGTTTTTTTTGGAGACAGAGTCTCACTATGTCACCCTTGGTAGAGTGCGGTGGTATCACAGCTCACAGCAACCTCAAACTCTTGGGCTTAAGTGATTCTCTTGCCTCAGCCTCCCAAGTAGCTGGGACTACAGGCTCCCACCACAACACCTGGCTAGAGTTTGAGGTTATTGTGAGCTGTGACACCATGGCACTCTATCCAGGGTGACAGAATGAGATTCTTTCTCAAAAAAAAAAAAAAAACCTGTGCATAGCCCAAACTGGAGGGTGGCTCAGGAAGAATCAAAGGGAGCTTTCAGAAGCCTTAATAATCAAGTGGAGTATCTGTTTTCCTTGGAGAGGGTTGCGGGATGGGCAGAAGATGAAGAGGGTAGAACAGCCCAGGTTGGGCAATGCCATTTATTCTCCTTGGTGGTGAGGAAGCCTCTGTGGAACAGGATGGGGGTACTAGTCCATAAAGCTGGGTTCAAAACCTGCCTTCTCTTGGCCACGTGGAGTGAACTGGTTCAGGGTCTGGAGGCTGTTGCTTTGTTTTCTATCTAGATTCATACTTCCTGGCTGGGCACCCCTGGGTAAATTACCTTAGTCTCTCTCAGCTTCAGTTTTCTCACCTGAGACGTGGAGAAAATGGTAGCTCCCAGCACTGGGGTGTTCGTGAGGATGACAAGTATCTGTGTGTGTGCTGCCAGGATGGCCACACCAGCCTGTCACTCATCAGCCTGACTTGCCCATTGTCTCCAGGCAGGTGGAGTCAATGTGCCAGCTGCAGCAGCAGGCGTCTGGCAGGCCCCCCATGGACCAGCCCCAATCCTCAGATGAGCCAGTGCCCCTGCATGAGGCCCCACGTGGGGCCTTCCGCCTAGCTGCAGGGGACCCCTTCCAGGAGCCTCGGACAGTGGTGTGGCTGGGTGTGCTTTCATTAGGCTTCGCCCTGGTGCTGGACGCCCACGAGAACCTGTTGCTGGCTGAGGGCACGCTCCGGCTGTTGGCTCGCCTCCTCCTTGACCACCTCCGGCTGCTGGCCCCTGGTGCCAACCTCTTGCTGCGGGCTGATCGCATCGAGGGCATCCTCACTCGTTTCCTGCCCCATGGTCAGCTGCTCTTCCTCAATGAGCAGTTCGTCCAGGCCCTGGAGAAGGAATTCAGTGCTGCTTGGCCCCGCTGATTCCATGTTGGGATGGGGCTTCCTGAGAGGGCAAAGTGGAAGGGCAGAGGCTGGACACAGCCAGGTGAAGGGTGGCAGCTGCCTCCTGCCCGGTCTGCTTCCAGCTCTGATGTGCTGCCACACCTGGGACGAGTGAGCTGTGCAGAGGGTATAGGAGGTGCTGTGTCTGTCCTCAGGTTTGTGGAAGCACAGAACATCCTGAGCCTAGAGCCACCATGTGACTTTCAGATGGCTATGTTGTGTCAGCCATGCCTGGCCTTAATCCAGCCCCAACTGCTGCTCCTGTGGAGCTGTCAGGAGGGGCTGCCAAGAACTTAGCCCACTGTCTCCTTCCAAACTCAGTCTTTGCAACACGGAAGAGGTCTCGGAACTCTGCATGCACCTTGGCAGGCCCCAGCCCCTGCTTTTGTGTCCACTTAGGCAATATCATCAAGGATTTTGTCAGCAAGGGCCTGATTGGTGTCCAGCCCCACCACGGGTCAGAAATGTGTGAGTCATTCAGCAGAAGGATTCTGTAGCTCCTTTTGTGCCAAGCGCATGCCCACCCAGCAGGCCTCAGATAAGATCATCACAGCCTCCCCTCGTCTGCAGGGAGAGAAGGTACCATCAGATGAATGCAAGAGATCTGGTCTGATGACATTGTCTTTCTCATTTTGAATTAAAAGCACTGGATGTATGATCTCACCTTCTCTTTCTGTGAATTTGATGAATGCATTCTGCTCCTGCAAGAGAGCACCTCTAGATGGGCCCCAAGCTGGGCGTCTGAGCCCTATGGTCACGTGTCTCCCTAAGAGCCTATTCCATCCCTTGTCCTCCATCTCACCTCTGTCTCAGTATGTGCCTCCTTTGGATGGCGGTGCTATGATAAGGCTTGGTGCAGGTGGTTTATGTGGGAGGTGATGCCAGGAAGCAGGAGGGCATCCCATGCAGGTGCCTTATCAAGTTCATCAGAACGTAGGTGGCAGCTAGTGCTCTGGGGGAGGGGAGTGTGGGTGTTTGTCTTCACACTCCCTGGAGTCAGTGGTTGTGGGCTGATCCCGGGATACTTACATTCCCTGCTTTTTCTGGCCTTAGGCAGTGTGGGGCTGAGCCTGTCTGCACCGAAATGAGGCCCAGTGAGGTACGAGTGAGATCCTAAACACTGGTTATTAGGAGGTCTTTAATCAGCGGCTACTAGTGTTGTTTTAAAATTATTCAGTTGGGAAAAAACTCAGTTTATGCCCATTTTCATGCGCTGCCTGTTAATAAGGAGGGTGGGGATTTCTTAATAAGGAGGGTGGGGATTTCTTGGTATTAGCAGAATGAGCCTCCCAGGGGGTCAGGATGCAGGTGTTAGCCTATTTGGTGCTTGCCATGAGTCATTTGCCTTTTGGGCACCCAGGGTAGACCCACCATATCCAGTTGAGAGGTACATCAATGATAAGTCTGTAGCCAAGGCCACCAGCCATGCCAGGCCTTCCACCACCACTGTCACTGTCATTGGGTCTAGACCTTACCTACCTTAGGGTTCCACAAATTATCCTATGACCTTGAAGACCTACAGGGACATCAGTCTGTGTGGCCAAGCCACACCACCAGAAATGTTCCACAGGCCCCCAGTGAGGACGCCCTGCCCTGTACTGCTGCTGTCCTGGGACTGCTCCTGCCCTCACTCCAGGCTGGCAATCTTAGCAGACCAGCCATGTTCTCACAGGGACAGGCCATTCTGGCCTCAGTGGAAAGATTCACACTTGCTGGTCTAAATTCTTTCTGCCTGTCTTTCAAACTGAATGTAAGAAAGAGGCTAAGACCCTGCTTCCTTCAGTCTGTGGGAATTAAGGTTAGGTGTGACTTTTTTTTTTTTGGCCAGGGCTGGGTTTGAACCCACCACCTCTGGCATATGGGACTGGCACCTTACTCCTTGAGCCGCAGGCGCCACCCGTTAGGTGTGACCTGTGGCCTTGGTTCCCATCGGGGGAAAACCTGATGCACAGAGAGCATGAGACCATGCCCTGGGCCCCTGGGCCCCTGGTCTCTCTTGCTCTGAATGCCCCAATGGACCAGGGTTTCCTTAACCCCATGAGCTCCCCTACACCCTCCCCATACTCTCCTATTCCACTGCAGCTTCTTACCTCATATTCACCGAGCATGCCACTCTTCTGGGCGCTACGCAGGGTTCAGAGATGTCCCCAGGAGGTAGGCTGGATGACTGAAGACCAGCATGATTCGGTTATCCCTGAAGTGATGCTTTCAGTGTCCAGAGGAGGAAGAGGGGGTACCTTAATGAAGAAGACTCAGCGAAGAAGCCAGGATTTAGGACTAAAATTAAGATTGTGACAAACCAAACTTGCTTCCCTTTCCAAGCCTCCCCCTTCTCCAATCCCTGCCCCAAGCCACACAACCCTAGCTTCCTGAGAATGCTGGTGATTTTGAGCAGCTGGTGTTGATACCAGAGCATCTCCATGAACACTTCTGGGACAATAGGAAGATGACAGAAGGGAGGGGAGCTAGGGCATGGGGAGCTCAACCGAGAGAGGAGGGGTCATAAGTTTCAAGCTAGGAAGTGGCCTGGGGACATGTGGGTCACCAGTTGGAAGGGTGGTGGGCCTTGGGACAGAGTCACCGTATCTCCTTTAAGGCAGGGTGGTTTTACTCTAACCCTGGAGCACTGCACACTGCTATTTAGTATCCCTCAGGGCTCAATCTTTCCTTTTGCTTTTTTTTTTTTTAAATAGAGCAAGGGGGTCTTGCTCTTGCTTAGGCTGGTCTTGAACTCCTGAGCTCAAGCAATACTCCTGCCTCAGCCTCCCAGCATGCTAGGATTATAGGCATGAGCCACTGCAACTGGCTTCAATCTTCCCTTTTAAACACTTACATATTTTATTGTAAATGCAGTTAACAAGATTCAAGACTCAGTGACCCCTTTATCAAAGTTCTTTATGTTTATTCCTGCAGTGGAAGTGGCCTTGACTGTTTTTCTTTTGTTTGTTTTTGAGACAGTCTCACTATGTCGCCCTTGGTAGAGTGTTGTGGTGTCACGGCTCACAGCAACCTCAAACTCTTGGGCTTAAGCGATTCTCTTGTCTTAGCCTCTCAAGTAGCTGGGACTACAGGCACCCACCACAAGGCCCGGCTTTTTATTTGTTGTCATTGTTGTTTAGCTGGCCCAGGCCGGGCTCAAACCCACCAGCTTCAGTGTATGTGACCAGCGCCCTAACCACTGAGTTACAGGAGCTGAGCCTTTGACTGCTTATTTTTTTTAAAGGAGTCTTTGTTAATTTTTAGAGCAATTTTAGGTTCACAGCAAAATTGAGCAGAATGTGCAAAGGGTTCCTGTTTCCTCCCCACCCTCATACATGCGCAGCCTCCCTGTTATCAACACCAGGCCCCAGAGTGGTACAAGTGATGAACATACATTGGCAACTCATTATCTCGCAAGTCCATAGTTTACATTAGAGTTCACTCTGCGTTGTGTATTCTGTTGGTTTGGACAAACGCAGAATAGCATATATCCACCACTATGGTATCATTCAGAATAGTTTTATTGCCCTAAAATCCATGTTCCACCTATTCACCCCTCCCAGCCCACAACCACAGGCAGCCACTGATCTTTTTTACTCTCCATAGTTTTGCATTTTCCAGAATGCCCTATCATTTAAATCCCACAGTAGGTCGTCTTTTCAGATCAGCTTCTTTCACTTAGTGATAGCCTTTAAGGTTCCTCCATGCCTTTTCGAGGTTTGATTGCCAATTTTTTTAAAAATGCTGAATGGTACTTCTTTGTGTGGATATGGCACAGTTTATTCATTCACCTACTGAAGGACATCTTGGTTGCTTCCAAGTTTTGGGAATTATGAATAAAGCTGCTATAAACATTCATGAGCAAGTTTATTTATTTTTTATTGTTGGGGAATCATTGAGGGTACAATGAGCCAGGTTATACTGCTTGCGTTTACTGGGTGAAGTCCCTCTAGTAATAGTGTCCTGCTCCCAAAAGGTGTCACACACCATGGCCTCACAACCCCTCTCTCTGTCCCTCTCTCCCCTCCCCCATTCCCCCTCCCTCCACGTGAACTAGCATCAATTGTTCTCGTATCAGAATTGAGTACATTGGATTCTTCCTTCTCTATTCTTGTGATGCTTTGCTAAGAAGAATGTATTTCAACTCCATCCAAATTAATACAAAAGATGTAAAGTCACTATCCTTTTTAGTGGCTGTCTAGTGTTCCCTGATATACATATACCACGGCTTGTTAACCCATTCCTGGATTGGTGGGCATTTAGGTTGTTTCCACAGTTTGGCAATTGTAAATTGAGCTGCAATCATGAGCAAGTTTTTGTGTGCACATAAGTTTTCAACTCCTTTGAAATACCAAGAGGTCTGATTCCTGGATCCCAAGGTAAGAGTGTGCTTAGTTTTGTAAGAAACTGCCAAACTGTCTTCCAAATTAGCTATATTGTCTGGCATTCCTGTCAGTGACAAATGAGAGTTTCTGTGGCTCCACATCCTCTCAAGCATTTGGTGGTGTCCCTGTTTTAGATGTGTAGTGGTCTCTCATTGTTATTTAAATTTGCCATTCCCTAATAACATATGATGTCCACCATATTTTTTTTTTTGAGACAGAATTTCACTATGTTGCCCTCAGTAGAGTGCTATGGCATCACAGCTCACAGCAACCTCAAACTCTTGGGTTTAAGTGATTCTCTTGCCTCAGCCTCCCAAGTAGCTGGGACTACAGGTGCCTGCCACAATGCCTGGCTATTTTTTCTTGCAGTTATCGTTGTTTTGCAGCCTGGGTTGGGCTTGAACCTGCCAACCTCAGTGTATGTGGCTGATGCTGTAACTACTGTGCTACGGGCGCCGAACCTAAATTTAATTTAACTTTTTTTTTTTTTTGAGACAGAGTCTCACTTGGTTACCCTTGGTATAGTGCTATTGAGTCATAGTTCACAGCAACCTCAAACTCTTGGACTTAAGTGATCCTCTTGCCATAGCCTCCTGAGTAACTGGGACTACAGGCACCTGCCACAATGCCCGACTATTTTTAGAGATGGGATCTTGCTCTTTCTCAGGCTGGTCTTGAACTACTGAGCTCAAGGGATCCACCTGTGTTGGCCTCCCAGAGTGCTGGGATTACAAGTGTGAGCCACTGTACCCAGCCTCAAGGCAAGTGGTGATAATTTCAAATTCCCTGGTTTATTGTGGGAAAGTAATTGATTTTTTTTTTCTTTTTTTGTGAGACAGAGTCTCACTCAGTCACCTTGGGGTTGAGTGCCATGGCATCATTGCTCACAATAACCTCAAACTCTTGGGCTCAAGTGATTCTATTGCTGAGCCTCCTGAGTTGCTTAGACTACAGGCACCCCCAACAATGCCTAGCTTTTTTTTTCTGTCTGTTTTTTAGAGATGGGGTCTTGCTCTTGAACTCAGGCTCGGGCTGGTTTTGAACTCCTGAGCTCAAGCAATCAGCTGGCCTCAGCCTCCTAGAGTGGTGGGATTATAGGCATGAGCCTCTGTGCCTGACCCTAGAGCAATTGATTTTTTTTTTTTTGGAGACAGAGTCTCATGCTGTCACCCTGTACATGACATCACAGCTCACAGTAACCTTATATTCTTGAGCTTGAGCCATTCTCTTGCCTCAGCCTCCCAAGTAGCTGGAACTACAGGTGCCCACCACAATGCCTGGCTATTTTTTGTTGTTGCA